TGCGAAAGTGGGTCCACACCGACTCCGAGCTGCGCCGTCTTGAAGCGACGGAGTGCCTCCAGGCGGTCGGCCGGGGTGTCAAAGCCCGCGATCAGGGCGTCATTCGCGGCGGCCCACTCCATTTTCTCCGGGCCTCTTCGTGCCGCGTCCAACACTGACCGCGCACGACCCTTGAGGAGCGCTCGGAAGGCCGTCGACTTGCCGCGATCCGTCCGTATTCCGGCCAACTCCGCCACATCCTCGAACTCCTCCAGGAACATCCGCACATCCCCATCCTCGAAGGCTGCTGGCCACGGAACCTTCATCCTGATCCTGGCGACGGCACCAAATGTTATATTCCGAAAAGGCGGTGCTGGTCGAGGAGAATTTTTTATTGCAGAATACAGATTGAAGGTCACTTATTCTGCATGCATAACACGAAAAGCTCATCAGAAACATGCCTTCGCAGCACATCGCGACACATGGGGCAATGGGTATAGCAGGCAGTGTTTATTCTTCCCAAATATATTACTTGGTCCTGGATGGTCTTGTTCTATTTTTAATCATTGAAAGTTACCGACTACTCACAAGTGAGTAGTATCTCACAACAGAAGTTGTAGGAGTAGGAGTAGTACATGTAGTCGTGGTTGTATTGGTAGTAGTAGTACTAGTAAAAGCAGTACTAGAGCCAGAAGAGGTGGTAGTACTATTCGAAGTATAAAGGGTAGAATTCGTAGTAGCACAAGAAGTAGTTTTAGTAGTAGTAGTAATGGTATTTCAATAAGCAGTAGTGGCACAAGTAGTCGTAATTTTAGCAGTAGTCTTAGTGTTATTAGTGGGTAAAGTAGTAGTAATAGCAGCGGTAGCACTCGCAGAAGTTTTCGTAGTAACAGCATTAGTAGTATTAGTTGTATTAGTCGTATTAGTAGCAGTAGTAGTAGCAGTTATCGTAGACGTAGAGGTAGTAGTAGTGTTGTAAATGAGTTAAGGCTGTACTCGTAGTCGTAGTAGTCGCAATAATCGCCTTCATCATCGTAGTAGTAGCAGTACTAATAATAGTAGTCCTAGGGGTAGCATTTGTAGTAGTAGTAGCATCAGTGATGTTGTTCGTATTAGCAGCACCAATATTTGTAGTTGTAGTAGGGATCGCAATGGAATAGTAGAAGTATTGGTAGTAGTGTTATTGAGAGTAGTTAAGTAGTCGTGGCATAAGTCGAATGAGCAGTAGTCGTTGTATTGGTAGTTATGGTAGTATTGGTTATATTGCTAGTTATAATTGTGTTAGTATAAGTAGTAGTAATTTTAGTAGAAGTACTAGTAAAGGTAGTAGTGTTAGCAGTAGTTATAGTAGTCGTAGTCGAATAAGTAGTTTGTAGGACAAGGAGTACTCGTAGTAGTAGTCGTAGTCGAAGTAGTAAAAGTAGGAGGAGGAGAAGGAAGACAAAGGTTGGTATTATAATTAGAAGTAATAGTGGCGGTAATTTTGGTAATAGTGGTAGCCGTAGCAGTAATAGTGACAGTAGTAGTTGTTGTTGTTGTTGTAATCGTGGTAGTTCTAGTAGTTTTGGTAGTAGTAATAGCAGTAGTCGTGTCGGTAATCGTAGTGGTAGTAGTCGCAGCATTCGTCGTCGTCGTCGAAGCAGTATAAGATCATTATTATTATTAATTCTATTGGTATTAATAGTAGTAGTGGCATTATTTTATTATTAATAATGGAAGGAGAATCAGTGGTAGTAGCAGAAGTAGTAGTATTTGCAGAAGTAGCACCAGTAGTCGCAGTTGTAGTAGTAGTGGTAGTGATATTAGTAGTGAAATAGAAGAAGTATTAGTGGTAGCAGTACTAGAAGTAGTGGTCGTCGTATTAGTAGCAGCAGTAGTGGTAGTAGTGCTAGGTAATTGGTCGTGGTATTGGTAGTAGAATCAGTAGTCGTTTCAGAAGCAATCCTGTTCGTTGTAGCAGTATTATTAGTAGTAATCGTGGAAGCAGTAGTAACAGTCGTTGTACTGGTATCAGTGTTAGTAGTAGCAATAGAATCAGTAAACGTTGAAGTACTGACAGAATTATTCATGGGAGTAGAACTAGTGGTAGTAGTAGTAGTAATAAACGTATTGGGGTAGCAGTAGTAATAGTGATAGTATAAGTAGCAGTGATAAAAGAAGCAGAATTAATAGTCGTAATCTTTGTATACGTATTAATTGTCGTAGTAGTATTAGAAATAGTAGATGAAGTGGCAGTAGTAGTAGTATTGGTAGTAGTAGCAGTAGTCTTAGTAGCCGCAGTCGTAGAAGTAGAAGTAGTAGTAGTATTAGAAGATGAATTAGTGGTAGTATTGGTAGCAATAGTGTAAATAGCAGTAGTAGAATTAGGAAAATTATCCATAGGAGTAGTAGAAGAAGTAGGTGTTGTAGTAGTATTAGTAGTAGTGTTAGCAAAAGTGGTAGTAGTATTTGCAGCAGTGGTAGTAGTAGTAGTCGTATTAATGGTAGTAGAAGTGGTAGTAATAAGAACAGTGGTAGTAGAAGGTTGTGGTGCCATCAGTTCCAGTGGCAGAACTCGTAGTAATATCGGTAGTAGTATTAGTAAAATGAGTAGTAGTTCGTAGTAGTGTAATGTAGTTATAGGATTAGTACAAGAAGTAGTGATAATAGTAGCAGAAGTAACAGTGGTCGCAGTAGTAGAAGTAGTAGTAACAATTTTACTATCATTGGTAGTAGTAGTTTTAGGAGCAGTAGTATCAGCGGTAGTAGGCGTAGCAGCAGTGGTGTAAGTAGTAGTTGCAGTAATAGTAGTAGCAGTTGTAGTATTATTAATGATTTCACTAGTATGCGTAGTTGTGTTAGTAGTAGTACTAGTAATATTCGTTGTAGTGGTCGTAGTAGTAGTCGTGTTAGTAGTCGCACTTTTAGTACTAGTTGAAGAAGTCGCATCAGGAGAAGGGTCATTAGTAGTAAAACCAACTGCAGTAGTCGTATTTGTGATATTTGTAGAAGTAGAAGTATTATAAGCCGCAGCAGTAGCAGTTCTAGTAGAAGTATTAATAGTATTATTCGTGGACGCAGTATTAAGGATAAAATATGTGTTTGAATATTCTTATAAGTAGTATTAGAATACGCGCAGCAGTAGTCGTCGTAGTGTGCACAGTGGTAGTCGTAGTAGTAAGAAGATTAGTAGTATAAGTAACAGTAGTAGCAATAGTAGTAGTAGAAGTAGTAGTAGTAGTAGTAGTAGTAGTAGTAGTAGTAGTAGTAGTAGTAGTAGTAGTAGTGGTACAAGTAGTATTAGTTTGAGTCGTAGTTGTTCTCATTGCAGTAATCGAACATATAGTAGTAGTAGTAGAAGGAATAGTTGAAGTCGTAGAAATAGTAGTGGTAGTAATAGCACTAGAAGCCGTAGTCGTATTAGTCGTAGGATTCGTCGTAATATTAGTAGTATTTTCCGTCCTAGTAGTAGCAGTACTAATCTTGATTGCATTTTTAGTAGTGGAAGTATAAGTCGAAGCAGCCGTGGTATTCGTACTGGTAATATTAGTTGTATTAGTAGTAANGGAAGAAGTGTTAGTATTAGTAGAAGTAGTAGTTGTAGTCGAAGTATGAGTAGCAGTAGTAGTGATAGTATTTTTAGTAGTCATAGAAATCTCAGTATTCGTAGTAGTCGTCGTAGACGTAGTAGTCGTACTCTCATTAGTAGAAGTATTGGTATTAGTAGCAGCAGTAGCAGTAGTAGTCTAAGTAGGATTCGTAGTAGCAATCGTAGTAGTAGAAGCAGTTGTAAAAGTAGTGGTATTGGTGTTTGAAGCAGTGTTGATAGTAAAGGTATCAGTAGTCATATTTTTGATGGATGTCCTGGTAGTAGTGAGAGTAGTTATAGTAATATTAGTAAGAGTAGACCTATTTGTATTAGTAGAACTAAAGAGAATAGTAGTCCCATTAGTAATAGAAGTAGAAGTAGTAGTAGCAGTAGAAGAAGAAGCAGTCGTAGTAGTCGTAGCAAACCTACTTGTAGTGGTGGTAGTATTCGTATTGAAGTTATTAGTAGTAGTCATCGTAATAGTACAAGTTAAAGTCATGGTATTGGAAGTGATAGTAATAGTATTATTATTAGGGCTCTTAGTGGTGGTAGCAATATAAGTAGTTGTAGTAGTACTGGTAGTGGTAATAATAGTAGAAGTAGTATTAGTGGTAGTAGCAGTAGCGATAAAGGTCGTTGTAGTCTTAGTACTAATCGAAGTAAAAGTAGTTGTAGTATCCGTAGTAGTCTTAAAAGTGATAGGAGTAGTATAATTGGAAAAATCTGATTTATTAGAAAAACGTAGCAGCAGTACAGGTAGTAGTAGTTGTAGTAGTGGTAAAATTTTCATTATTTGCAGTAGAAGTGGTAGTAGTCGTAGAAGTAGTGCAGGTAATACTCGGAGTAGTATTAGTAGTTATAGTGGCAGTAGTAGAAGTAGAAGTAGTGGTCGTAGTATTGGTAGTAGTAGAAATTGTAAAAAAGCTAAAAGTGGTATTAACATTAACCGAAAAAAGAGTTGTGGTATTAGTAGTAGTGTCAGTGATAGTGAGAGTTTTAGCGGTAGTCGTCGTTTCAGTAGTAGTAGCGGTGATATTAGTAGGAAATGAACCATTGTGTGTCGCTCCATACAAACTCTATGTCCAACATGCACACCCATCTACAGCACCTGGTCGTGAAATGTTCCAATAATATGGGAGGTATGAAAGAACAGCCGGTCAAACTGAAAGTTGACGATGAACCCATTTTCCTAAAACGACGTGTAATTCCCTACGGCCAACGTGATGGTGTACTACAGACCCCTGAGAAAATGGAGCGCGATGGCATAATCACACGAGTCACATCCAGTACATGGGCAACGCCAATCGTTATCGCAATCAAGAGTGACGGCAAAACACCACGAATTTGTGGCGACTACGGCTTAACACTCAACCCGCGTTTGCGAAAGTGTGCGGCTACCACCATGGAACCGGAGGATTTCATGAAAGCATTGCACGGCAGTACATGCTTCTCGAAGATTGACTTGGCCGATGCATACCTCCAGATTCCACTCGCACCAACCTGCCGGCATTTCACTACTATCAACACACCATGGGGACTGTATCAATACAACTTCCTACCGTTTGGTCTCCACACATCCTCCGGCATATTCCAGGCTGCAATTGACGAAGTCATCCGTGGACTCGATGGCGTGTTAGCGTACCAGGACGATGTCATTGTATTTGGCACAACGAAGGCCGAGCATGACGATAGACTTCTCAAACTACTGGAGCGGTTCGCCCAAAAGAACGTGTCAATTCGCGCCTCCAAATGCATGTTCAGCTCACCAGAATTGGAATTCTTGGGTTTCACAGTAGATGCTAAAGGCTATCGTCCTGATCCAAGTCGCTTCCGCCCATTGACTGAACTCGAGTCACCAAGAGATCAAAACCAACTTAGATCCATCATGGGATGTCTCCAATACTATTCGCGTTTCATCCCGAACTTCGCCACAAAAGCCCAACCACTGTTTGCTGCTCAGTCGACTGCGGAATGGAAATGGACTACCGAGTGTGAACAAATTCTGCGTGAAATCATTCAGATGATAGCTGACCGACCAGTACTCGCCTCGTTCTCTCCGACAAAACATCCAACTTTGATTACCGACGCATCAGACGTTGGTATTGGTGCCGTCCTCGAACAGAACGGATGTCCGATTGTCTGCATCTCTCGTCTACTCAACAAAGTAGAACGAGGATATTCGCAGACGTAAAAAGAAGCGCTAGCTGTATATTTGGCCGTCCGTCGCCTACACAAATACCTGTTTGGATTGCGTTTCACCATCGTAACCGACCATCAAGCGTTGCAATATTTATTCAGTCCACTAAAGTCGATCTCAAAACCGACGGCGGCGATGATTCGGCGATGGAGCATTGCATTGGCTGCTTACGACTAAGACATAGTGCACCGTCCGGGCAAGGCAATTCCCCAGGCCAATTTTCTCTCGCGGTGGTCCAAATTCTCGGAGGTGTCACTTCATTGCTACTGCTGCCCCAGTATCCCGAGAGGAGTTGCGCCGATGTACCAAAAAATACTATGCAGAAATCATAACGGCTCTATCAAAAGGATGGCGTCCTGACCTGAAGCGGAAGTTCGCAGCATTCTATGCACACCGTGAAGAAGTCAGTGTCCAACCTGACGGACTACTATGCCGCAACGATCGACTGATCATCCCACCTCCGTTACTCAAGGCTGTGCTAGAAGACCTACACAAAGGCCACTTAGGGGTGGAGAAGATGAAGTCGTTGGCAAAACATATGTGTTGGTGGCCCGGTCTCGATGAAAACATTGGTCGAACTGCTAAGAACTGCGAAGCATGCCTACAAAAGCAGAAGTGAAAACCGAAGAATTGGGTCCCATGGCCAGAAAGCTATATTCCATGGCAACGTGTGCACGCCGATTTCTGTGGACCATTTCTCGGCCATTATCACGCACTAGTACTTATCGATTCATACTTCAAATGGCCTGAAGTGTTTCTAACCAGCGCACCAACTACATCGTTTGTGATGCGAGTACTACGAAAGTGTTTCGGTCGAGAGGGTGTGCCTCAAGTGTTGGTGACTGATAATGGATCGGAATTCTGCGCGGCGGAGTTGAAAACGTGGCTGGGCAGTTTCGGCTGCCGACATCTACGCACAGCACCACGTCACCCCTGTTCGAACGGTGCAGCGGAAAACCTGGTGAAGACGGTGAAGAGTGCCATAGCTTCTGCAAATCCAAGGACAATTTTCGAGTTGGAGATACTCCTAGAGAACTTCCTACTGCAATACCGGAATGCTGAACATGCTACCACCAAAGAGAGCCCAGCAAAACTGTTCAAAGCCAGAAGTTTACGTTCCTCACTGCGATGCGTGGATTCGAGTGATGTCATATACTTCCGAAGAAACGACTTGCGACCATCAAGAAGAATCATTACCCGCAAGATTGGTCAAAATATGGTCGAGATCACTGATCTGAAAGATGCAACGGTCCATCGACGACACATCGACCAAAATCACATCAACGAAACTCCAACATTGAATCAAGACCGTGCCAAATAAAACCAACAAAACCTGTTCTGTGATACGCCAGCAACATCTACTGATGATCATGAGAAACAGCCCCCTGCTCTGGACATGTCTACCGACGAGGAAACCCCACTAGCACTCCGACGACCAATCAGAAGAAAAAGCCAATTTGACGCAGC